TCCAGATTCTTTGCTTCAAAGAATTGTCTTATTGACATTACCCCTTTCAATAAAAACTTTATCGCTTTGCTCGTCAGACAATTAAAAAATACAGAAAAATGGTGGCTATAATTACAATACATCCTGCTAAAAAAAATACTGAATTCAAACGAAGAAGCTGCTTATTTGATCGATATATTGTTAGTGTTTTATTGAATTTTACATCATCAGATGACAATTTTGCAGCTGTATAGCAGTAGTTGTTATCATTCTTTGTTGTTTGATTTTCAGTTTGGCAATCTCCTTGAATGGGTTTTGTACTTAGGAGCTCTGCTCTTTTTGTTACCATTTGTTGGGAATGGGGATTTTGTCAACTGGTTCTTTGCAGCAGCTGAAAAAACCCCTGGAAACTTATGGGTCATGGCACTTGTATCAATCATGCTTGCTTTTACAAACTTTGTTTTGTTTTTACGCCGATTTACATTCTTTGCTATCTACATCAATATGTTCCTGGTTGTGTTCAGAAGCTTGATCAAGGTTATGCTTGTTTTTGCGGAGTTCATTGTTGCATTTGCTGTGGTGTTTTTCATTCTCTTCAAAGAACAGGTATTTCAAWCGTTATGAAAAATATGATTTCCCCATAGGCTTTTCTAAAATAATTATGYATTAAATCACTGTTCAGATCGAGTGCAGACATCATTTATTCATGTGGTCTTGTATGGTGCTGTTTGTACTTAAGCTAGACCGAAATGCAATATGATTTTATATTTKATATTAACTTTGGATTTGACAACATTTATTGCCCCTATCTGCGTTATTGAATATTAATTATATTCCTGTAAATATCGATTGAAAAGATCAAAGAAATACAAACACAAATTGGRAYGAGACCAGTAACAGCAAAAACARTTTCAAGCTTTTGYATTAAAGTGAGACTGGAGTTGAGCTTTCAGTGATAGGTACTTTGTGTTTATATCTAAGACAATTATTTACAGATGTCTATCACTGCAAGCTCAACATCTGTCTCACATTGATGCAAAGGCTCAGSAACATTTCAAGATGGCGATTGGAACTGTAAAATGGAGTATTGAGCTTAACCAAGATGGAGTCCCGTACTCGCACCTTACCACTAAGAATCAACATTTGTTCTTATTCAAGTTTCTTGTATTTATTGTTCACAGGCTTCCTTCAATTCATTTCCTCACTCGTTACTGAAAACACTGTCCATGACCATTGGTGAGGTGGATTTCACTTCAACCTTCATCGATTCAATTAATGAAAAGGAAAAATCTACTGGATATCCACTTAATCCCTTTCCTGAGATGGCATTCACATTTTATACCTTCTTCGTATTTGCAATGTGTATCACTCTCATGAATCTATTGGTAAGTGCAGTATCAACCTTCATATTTTTGTTAAGCAATCGTGATATGGGCATTCATTGATGAGATTTTGCAGAAGGGCAACCATTAAAAGATGGTCAACTTCCATTCATCCTTTGAAATAGGATGAAAACAATATAAACCTACTTGCAGAAACGTTGTCATAGAAAATAGAGCATTTGAATATAGTAAAAAAGAATTAATTAAAACAAGACAAAAGAGAGCATCCATCCTCAGTGATCTTCTTTTGTCTTCTTTTAATTTATTCCTTTTTACTAAATACAAATGTTCTATTTTCGTAAGTAGGTGTATGTCCAATCACTAGTAATACAGCACACATCAAAACCTTTTTTTATTGCTCATTAATGACCATACATCGTTAAGGTTTTGATTTGTTGCTTGGAAGACTTATCCATTGTTTTTCTAACCTGCCTATCGTGAGATTCGTTCTGGTCACTTTTGACTGTCCCACAACCACCGGAATTCAAAGAGTCTTCTGACCACTATTTCAATAATGTTCAGATTGGTTTGGCCATTGGCGATATCGATTCAGTCCAAAGAAGTGCAGAACTACAGAGACTGTCAATGCAAGTGGAATATGTTGCTCAAATTGAAGAGAAGTTTCCCCGTTTCATCACAAGACGCCTGTACCATCCTATTTTTGAAGTCATGCCAAACAAAAAGACCCTTGGGTGGAGGTACAATATTTGAGTTCTGAGTATACAATATCTTTACACACACCCCATACATAGAGTATATAGGCACGTGGAGATACGGATTGTATCTTTGAGTTCGCAATTGATGTATCTCACGAGTGAGCGCAKCAAACGATTGTGATGTCTGATAGACTTCTGAACCTTTTATGTCACCTATACTTGATTTGCAATACATTGCATGATCAGTTTCAGAAGAAAACAAAGAAACCCGCCATGGTTTTTCCCAACCATATCCTACAACGCGTTGCATGGTACACACACAAGATGAAAGTTTCAGCATCAGAGGAAACATTTCATCAATTTCAATTTCATTTGTGAAGATTTAAATGTGCAGTGGAGTAACATATTTGTTTTTGTATACAACAGATTTAAAAGGATTCTTAGTCTTTTCCAAGGAGCTCTTAAAGATTTTTCCACTACAACCGGCGAGAAAGCTTCAGATGAACAAGAAGTTAATTTGAATGACATGTCGTCAACTCTCGAGAAGAACAGGCGTCAGATCAAAGCTTTGGCTGTAGCAATAGAGGCACAAGCTAATATGTTGAAGTCAATGTCGGAAAAAATGGATAGCTATTTCAAGGTGGAGAGTGGGCCGCGCACTATAAAACTGGAAGACTTAATAATTAAAGATGCCAATGAAGACACTGGAATGTGAGAGACGGAAAATGAAGCTCAGCCATATTTAGAAAAAGAAAAAAATTGCTAATAAGGACATAACTTGACAAAGATAACGTAGAACAGTTGAACAAATGACAGCATAGAAATTGATTTGAGAATATGTGTGTGGCTGGAAAATCTGTGGAGTAGATAACACACCCAGTCAAACAAATTGCCTTTTTGGGGTCGACCACTACTGTCAAAACAAAGCTTGTGATTGATTGAGACAGCAAGACAACAACAATAACAAAAAAATGCAGGAATATGTCAGACAATGTCTGTTATTCTACTGGACATCTTTGCTTTTTGCATTGTCTGTCTCTGTGTTATTTCATCAAATCACAACCTTTGTTCTTATAGCAGGGTACAACTCCCTTTTTTTAACACGCAGTTATCCTCTTAAAGTTATCCTATTGTGGATTTATAGAAATATCTATTTTAACTTTTACAAATTCATTATTGTATCATCTTTTATCTACAAAATTCATATCTGTTACTTTTAAGTTTATCAACACTACTGTATATTTTGAAAGATAAACTAGGTAGCTAAGCTGAACATCCAGCGGATGAGGTTGCAACGACAGATATCTGTGAATGATTGTCCCAGGATTGAGCCAAAGGTATCTTTGGTTGCAATCTTAACCATATTGTCCCACTTCCATGCTAAAACTAGGCTGCTTTTCCATAAGCTTCTGTGAAGACGAACTGTATTTAAATAAGTACAGTATGTCATGTATACATTAGTTAAAATATATCACTGTAAACAAGAACATTTATTGAACATCTCTATATTTCATTTAAACATGACTATAAAAAAAGGATTATTTTCTTTTAAATCGGGAAATAGTAAAGAGTGATGTAAATATAAATAAGACATTCAAGGATGAGGATTTGTATTAAAATCTCACAAAAAGGGATTGACTGAACAATGTCTGATTAAATCCAAGAAGACATAAAACCTTGCTGATCAAAC